TCTGCCAAATCTAAGCTTTGCTTTCTCAAGTGCAGAGCCTGCCAAGACTCCACACTTGCTTCTCCAGGATTTGCAACCAATGGAGAAGCAGGTTTCTTGGGATCTAGAATCCAGCCTGGCTTTCTCCCACCCTGGCATAAATCAGGGGCTGTTCCAACCACCTGGAGGGGGACAGATCCCGGGAGAGACCTGAACCAGAGCACAAGCCAGGACTTCATCCACCACTGCTCCTACTGTGGCAATACCATCAGACTCTGACAGGGACACGTTCAAGTGTTGCACTTGCATATTGCTGCAGTAATACCACTGGGTTACTTGTCTTTCCGCTGGCAACACTCCCTCCCACCATGCTCCCATGCACTTACATTTCCTGAACTGCAAAACAATAGATATGGAAAGATCTGTTGGATCACTTTCTCCAACCCTCATGGGCTATAAAGTGGCTATTGCGAGACATCACAGGCTTTGGCCAACTTCATCCTACATGGATGAGCAAACCAGTAGGGCTTCTGTGACTAGTCTTGGGGAATAAGCAATAAGAAGCCAAGAGGAAACATAAGTCACAGCCAGGAATATATTCTAACACAAATCCTTCACATCCATGAATACCAGCTTGGCGTCTCCATTAACTGCATTCACTTGTCCTAGCAGTTATGGCTCACCTCCTTGCCCAGATTATTATGGAGCCAATCTTCTCCCACCCTGCTTAGGATGTGGTACAGGTGCTACAGGGAGCAGAAGAGGAGGCAGAAGCTCCACCACCACCAGCGGAACAGAGGAAGGGACAGACATTGCTGCCTAAAGTGATGCCATCACATCAGGCCTGTGTTCTCCTGTGAGACATCTTTTTTCAGTTCCTTTCCAGGCACATGCTTTAACCACTCGCATCCCTCAGCATGCAGCACACTGTCTCACACCCCAGGAAGAACAATATTTGAGATGCCAGCTGGCATCTCCATGGTGAAGAGGTCTGCCTGTACTTCTAATCCAGCCCAGAGATCCTCTCCCATGATCATCTTCCCTAGTACCAGCCTTCTGGGCTACCAGAGGTTAAGATTCCCAGTGCTGAAGCTCTGTGTTTATTTTTATTGCTGTTTTTTGTTTTTTTTTTCCTCCTGAACCAAACCATCTTTGCTTCTGAATCATTTCTGCATCCTGACTGTCCTCAGACCAAGTCAGGCCCCATGCCACTGATTAAAAAATAATCTAAAAAAAACCAAACCCTTTTTTTCTATTCCATGTGCAGTCTGCTGGTCACCCAAATTAGCTAGAAGAAGCTTTGTTTGTGCTGGTCCAGTGATGCCGCGTGGACCCCAGACCCCCATGGGACAGATTACATCTAATCGTCCCCCACCCATGAATTCTGCTTCTGCATTTCCTAAGCCTTCTTTCAGTCACTGTGCTCTCTCTTCTTTCTTTAAAAACAAACAAAAAACCTGAACAACACTAACATTTGCGGGGAAAAAAGCTCAAACAAAACAACAAAAAACAATGTAATTTTGCTCTTAATCTGCCAACCCTGGGTGTGGAAGAGCCTGTTGCTGCTACCAGTAGCTACTTCAGGTTGAACAGCACTGGAAAAGGCCCCATGGGGTTACTGTGCCACAATAAATCATGCCAGCACATCCCTAAAAACTTGCCACTTCAGTCCCTATGGGAAACAATGCCCTCTCCTTTTATTATTTTTAAATAATTATTTTTAAGCCTATTTCATCCCTCTTTGTACATACATCATTTGGGAATGTTCTGTTTTTAAGAAGCTTCTCCCCCACCCCAGCATCGCTAAAAGGACATGACAGAGCAGGAGAGCATTGCTGCTCTGGGGAATCTTTCCCTTTTTAAACCACTGAACTTTTCCCAAAGGTACCACTCATCCGGGTCTGTGCAGAGGCCACTGATGCTGCATGGCCTGATTTTAAGCAGGTGCCCCCATGCCATGGTGGGAATGGCAATTTGAACAGTTCAGCCACATAAGGAACTCTGTTTAGAGGTAGACAGAAATTATGGTAACTCATGCCCACTTACTCCCCCTGGCAAATCCACACTTATGTTCCCCCTAATTTCTTTCCTCTGGGAGAATAATTAAACAAAACCTACTCGAGAATATTATTTCTCATTCCCTGCTTTTACTCAAACTGTCTTGAAGCTGAAAGCAGTGTAAGTATCCATAGCTCTGTGTGCTTTGGGGTGAGTTTACACTTTAATTAGAAACTACTGTTTGGAGGGGCGGAGGCACAAACTGGGGAGGGTAAATTACAAATTTTCTGCTGTAAGCAGTCAAGTCACTATGAGCTAATACAGGGGAGGCTTTAAACAGGGATGGCTGGGATGTTTGCTGCTTGTGCGACCAGACTAAAAAATGTCTGGCCCTCTCTGCAGCCCTTTAAAAAAAAAAAGAAAAGAAAACAACAACAACAGAAAGAAAGACCAAAATTAAATTAAAATAAAATAAAGCTGCATGATCAATCTGCTGAATCAGACAGTTTGGAAGCAAGCTTTCCTTGATGAGGAGACTTCTGGAATGGAGTTGGAGGTGTGCACGGGTCTATTCAGAGAACCCCTGTGCCACCTGCCATCCCCAGTCCCCAGGGCTGTTCCCTAGCTCCAGCCATGGGGTAGCTATGGGGTTATATTTTGCTTGAGGATAAATAAAGAGGGAAAGGGGTGGGGGGGAATTTAGGCAGCCAATGCAACAGCACCCAGCCTCTCCTCCGACTCCCCCACCCCAATCAAAACCTCCTTTGCATTTCCATGGCCTAAGGGGGGTTGCTGTCTCTGCAAAAGAAACTTCTAAAACCGCTGGCTGGCACAGGGGAAAGATAGGAAGAGGGGTAAAAACAACCTCCAAACCCAAAGAGTCACCGCTGCACTCCCCCCGCCCTGCACACACCTGATGCCCCGCTTGGAAAGAGATCTCCTCCCTCTCTCTC